GTGTCTCTTTTGGTGTGGCTTTCAAAAGCCGCACTTTGCCCGTGCTTCCCCCCCCTCCCGTGTGGCAGGGGCCTTTGTTAGAGATGATTAGGAAAGGGATTGGACATAAAATGGCCCCTGTATAGATGTATGGTATCACCTCATTTGGAATACTGTGTACAGTTCTGGTTACCGTATCTCAAAAAGGACATTGCAGAGCAGGAAAAAGTACAGAAGAAGGCAACCAAGATGATTATGGGGTTGAAGCACCTTCCCTATGAGGAAAGGCTGAAGAGTCTGGGACTTTTCAGTTTAGAAAAGAGACGAATAAGGAGGGGCATGATAGAGGTTTATAAAATTATGCATGGAGTGGAGACAGTTGTCAAAGAGAATGTTTTCTCCTCTCCCCAAATACTAGAACTTGAGGGCATCCAATGAAGCTGATGGGCAGTAGCTTCAGAATGGACAAAAGGAAATACTTTACAGAGAGAGAGATTACAATGTGAAATTCACTGCTAGAGAATATAGTGATGGCCAGTTTTAACAGGGAATTAGATAAGATTCATGCAGGATAGGTCTGTGGTTACTAGCCACAGTGACTGAGGGAAACCTCCACATTCAGAGGCAGTCAACCACTGAACCCCAGTGCCAGGAGGCATCATCAGGGGAAGGCCTTGACCTCTATGCTCTGTAGCTGGCCCTCCAGAGGAACTGGTTGCCACTGTGTGACAGGATGCTGGACTAGTTTGACCACTAGTCTGATGTTCACTTCAAAGCCAGTACCTCCTCCATTTTTGACCCCCCTAAGTACCACTAGCTCATTTTGATCTCTCTTGAGTTTCATTATAAGATAACAAATAATAGTTACATTGTCATCATAAATAACAAACTGTGTGACAGCCCACTATTAGTAGAAACTACTTTATGCCACCACAGTTTAAGTAACATCATAACTTACAGGCTGATGAAATGGAGCTGTTGGTTAGGGAAAACAATCTATGTGGTCTACATTGTTTTCTTTTTAGGTATCAGCTTTGGCTTGTGGTAGGTTAGGGCCACCCACATATCGTACTGTTTTATTGTAGTAGGGGTGGGTTGCCAACCTCCAGACTGGGTCTTGAGATCTCCTGGAATTACAACTGATCTCCATATAGATCAGTTCCCCTGGTGAAAAAGGCATCTTTGGAGGGTGGATTCCATGGAATTATACCCGCTGAGGTCTCTCCCCTCCCCATTCTAGACCCTCCTCAGACTCCACCAGCAAGTCTCCAGGAATTTTCCAACCCAGAGTTGGCAGCCCTGAGTAGGGGATTACTAATGATGTGAGAGTGCTGTTGTCAGCTACATGGCAGCTTCCTAGTACCAGATGCTGTGGTCTATATTGCTGATATTGATTCACATCTCAATTTTTCTAAGTAATGTGAACAGCAACTCTTGGAGAATTTGGGGAAGGAAAAATATTTTAATGTATGGATATGAAAAGAATATACAAGTAAGCCAGTACATTATGGGTATAGGTCCCTACCGTTAATATTGACATTTCTCAATCAGTCAGTTAGTATTGTGCCTTACATAGAAAAAATACTTTTTACTACTTAATTTATGTGAGTTCAGAGAGCACCAACATATCTAAACCCACAGAATTTAACAACTGAGGGGGTTAGTAACTTGGAGTTTGTACCACCTTGAAGTTCAATGGAAGCTTGTGTACGTTATACACAGAAAACTGATCATTTTTTTTTTAAAAAAACCTTAAACTTGCTCAACATGAACTTTCTTTGCTGCCTTTTCTCAGGACCATGACAAAGTTGTATGAAGATGCTGATTGGTCAAATAAAGACCTTGGGGAGATAATCAAGTTTGCTCGTAAACAAGCAGCCAAATCTAAAATGAGTGCCTTTTCCTTGGAAAGCTTAAAGAACTACCACAACGAGCTATGCCAGAGGACAACTGCGGGATACAAGACATCCTTTATAGATCTTTGGGGACTCATGGTTGAAGCCATGCTGAATGATGGGGTATTCTATGCTTGCTTGTTTTCAGAGATATACTTTATTTACACATAATAGCCATAGGTTATTACACCAAAGAACATGAAGGAATTGGAAATAACAGCAAATCTGAATTTAGCTACAACAGTTGTGCAAGTTTTGCTGTAATTACTTAAAATAATCTTAATTTATGAGCAACTGAAGTAGTCAAATATTTTGAAAGCCACTTTATGAGGAATTTCTCCCTGGCTGCTACTTATTTTGGACAATAGAAAAAAAATGTGATAATGAATCAACCACCAACAAAGGACAGCTGCAAAAGCGCTCTTCAGGAGTTGTCCTAAGGAAATGACCCTTCATCTGAGCTGTGGGCAATGCATTGCAGTGCTTTTTCATATATGACAGACTCATGGGGGAAATAGAGTGCCAAGATATTGTGGGGTTAAATTCAACTGGGTATTTAATTCCCACATAAATTGGGGGAGCATTTCCTTTTGGCATCTTGAAATAAAAGGCTCCAGTCCTGTTTAAGAAGTTTCTCAGAAAGTAATGCTCTTTTCCTCTCTGTTAGGAGGTTCATAAGTCTCCATCGACTCTACTGAGTGATTTTGTAATCATGGTTCTGTCCCACAAAGAACAGCAGCACTCACAGGCTGCTAATTGAGTGAAAACCGGGAGGTCTTCAGCATTAAGCAGTCTAAATTTGAAACTGATAATGGCTTTCCATATCAAGGTTGAGATATTTGGAAGGCCCATTTCAAGTTGTACAGCTGAAGATGGTATACATGAGGTTAGGGCAAAGATTTTATGGGAAAACGTACTTTGAAGCTTGACAAGTAGTTTCACTGGGCTTGAAACACAAATTGGTGAACCATGAAGTATATAAAGCAACACAGGGGTTTTGTAGGCTCTCAGTGCTGGTATATATTGAGCACCTTGGATGATGAAAAATTTCCTTAGGTTGGACTGAAACATAATCCCTGGGATGACTAGGGATGGGCATGAACCAAACTACAAAGCAAAATTTATCACAAATTGTGCTCTGTTCATGGTTTGGGAATAGAAGTTCATGATGGATCTACTGTCACAAACTTCCATGAACTTTTAGATGGAGCAGAAATCAGTGCTCCATGGATGAAGCAGAAATCAGTGGTTTAAAGGGTCTCTGAGTCCCCCTAAACCCCTGCTTTCTGTTCCTGCTGCTCAGCTGTTTTGGGCTGACTTCTGCAGTTTCTTTAAAGGGACTGCAGAAGACAGCCTGAAACAGCTGAGCGGCTGAGCTCAGCTTTTTTGGGGCTTTCTGCAAACCCCTTTTAAAGGGACTGCACTCCCTTTCAATGAGGTTTGCAGGGCCATGAATCAGTTTGGTTCAAAAATGAGCCTCCTGGTTTGGTTCGTGGTTCAGCCACAAACTCAACCACATATCCCTACATATGACCATGAAAGCTGTGGAAACAGCATCAATGGACTGCCCATCCATTTTAATTTACTTGGGAGCACTGAACCAGATGTTTGGCAACTGAGTTTGGCAAGCAGTGGTGGTGGAAAAATACAGTTTGGAAGCCAACATGCTTTGAAAGTCACTAGTGTTAAGTACTTGGGAGCACTGAACCAGATGTTTGGTAACTGAGTTTGGCAAGTAGTGGTGGTGGAAAAATACAGTTTGGAAGCAAGAAGCAATGAGCAGGCAAGGAGGTGTTCATGCTTAATGTTTTGGACAGCACTGAAACATTGACATCTATTCACTGATGCCCATCTGCCAGCCAGCTGTTATTACCTGCACACCACTTCCAAAGCAGCTTTTCATCCCAGCTCCAGCAAACATAGTAAAGCACTTCCATCCACTATGCTTGGCACCTCCCACCACATTGTGCTTTCCCCTCATCAGTTTTTGGGTGGTGGTGTAGGTTACCAAACCCAGAGCTTGTGCTAAACATCTGATTTGGCCCCCAAGAACTGGCCAAAATAAAAATATTTGGGAATCCACTCTAGCTTCTTACACATTGTATTTGTCCCTGGATTTCACAACAGCAGTAGCCTGTTCCCTCATTACTTCAGCTATGGGTGAAGCCCCCGCTGAACTTGAAGCAGCAGCCACCATTCACCTGCCCTGTGCTTCTGATTGATGGCTGTGGCTGCTGCTGCTCCTGGCAGCCAGAACAGTTCCCTCAGGTAGATGAGTGAACAGTGACCAGCAGCATGCAATAGCCACTGGTGTCTGACCTCTTTCAGCCTGGCAGAGAAGGGAAGGGGGCAGAGGAAGGTGGAATGCACAACAAGTTAGGGAAGACATTATCTTTCTTGAGGGATTAATAACTTTCAGCTACTACAGTGGCAAACTCTTCCAAGGGTTTGGGGCACTGGAGGCTGCTGAATGATGTCTATCTTTGATTATAAAGGTAAAGGTTCCCTTGCTCGAAACCCAGTCGAAACCCAGTCCGACTCTAGGGTTGCGGTGCTCATCTCCGTTTCAAAGCCAAAGAGCCAGCACTGTCCGAAGACGTTTCCGTGGTCATGTGGCTGGCATGACTAAACACCAAGGTGCACGGAACGCTGTTACCTTCCCACCGAAGTGGTACCTATTTATCTACTTGCAATTTCTTGCTTTTGAACTGCTAGGTTGGCAGGAGATTATAGCCAGCTATAATCACCTGCAAAAATCTTCACCTGGAAATATCATTTGGGTACATTTTCTGACCATTTCAGCTAATAATATACTACACTCCTCAGTTTGTTTTTTGATAATTGGCCATCTTGTGGATCAGTATAAAAACAACAGTATTATGGTCAATAAATATACTGGGACTAGTGATGTAAAGTCAGCTCTGGCTAAATTAATGTTGTCTGGTACTATAGAAGCCATCCTGCAGGTCCTATTTCTTCCCACCTGATGCATTGTGTATATATTCCTCCTTCAATAGAACAACAATCATAAACTCTCAGATCAGAGAAAGGCAGCGAACCGAGGTCAGAACCCTCTGCCTATCTACCTGGCGCTCAATGTTAAAGACAAAGTCCCCACAAGAGATTTTAGAGGTAAGCCCTTTCTTTCTTTCTTTCTTTCTTTCTTTTTAAATAACAATTTTATTAAGGTTAACCATATAACAACAAACCAATAAATAACTATGCAAAAACTATACAACAATGAGGTAACTTTAGGAACATTAACACAATTATGAAAAGCTTAAAATACATAGAATAGTAAATATATTTCTTGGAAATCACGGCAGCATTGCTTCCCTTATATACCCTTAATCCCTATTGGGATTTCTTGTTGTATTTGTAAATATTCTAGAATGGGAGACCACACTGAAAATAATTGTTTCGTCTTATCAAGAGTAGTATTTTGTAATGACATAGTAATTTTGTCCATGATAAACAAATTCCAGATTTTACTATGCCATAAAGATAAAGTTGGGGTAAGGTCTGATTTCCTTTTATTGGCAATTGTCGCTTTTGCAGTGTAAAGTAATAAGGATATTCAGGTAAGCCCTTTCTCAGTCTCTTTCACCTATTCAACAACTATAACTTTTTAGAAAAAGTTTGAGTCCAGTGGCACCTTTGAGATGATCAAAATTTTATTCAAGGTATAAGCTTTCATGTGTTCATACCTTGAATGAAACTTCCTTGCTCTTAAAGGTGTCACTGGACTCAGACTTTATTCTACTGCTTCAGACCAACACGGCTGCCTACCTGGATGTCACTTTTTAGTATGGTAGCTTGCATATTACATTACAAACAAGCATGTATGTTACAATACTAGTTTTTAAAAGGAACCAGTCTTTACAGGAAGCTCAATCATAACTCCAGCACCGAGACAGCTGTCTTAATGATGTGCCACTCAGTTCTTTCTTTTTATCTTTCTCTTTGTGACCCAACTATGCCAATCACAATTTCTGGATTGTGATGGTGTCTGGCTGGTGAAATCAGTTGAAACTGCATCCTACAAAGCAGATATTGGACCCAGAGCATAGAACAGCAACAAAAACTGTAGGGTCTTTCTCACTTCTCTCTCTGTGCCTTCTATGTAAGGGCCTTAAATTAAAGGACAGTTCACATGATCTAAAATAACATGTATTTTGAGGCAACATAAACAACAGACCTTGTGTCACATGTGTAAGCAGCAGGAAAGGGTTGGAAGAATGTGACCCAAATAACTGATCCTTTTTTATAAACACATGTTGTCACAAAGCCAATCAAAATGCAGAATACAAGAAAAATTGTCTCCAACCTAATTTTTCCCCACTGATTGATTTGAACATATTAATTAATTAATCAAATTAGATTATAAGTTTTGGAATCGGTTAAATTGGGTTTTGTTTTTGTTTTTTTAACTAATTAATCCAATTGGTTGCTGCTGCAGTAGGGTGGGCCAACTAATTAAACAGAGGGATTGTTGTGAGGTATTGGTTAGAAAGGAGGAGTAGATTGAGTTTAATTGGATGGTCACAGCCTTTCTGTTGGTTGTTGAAGAGTACAATTTTTGGACTGACAACACCAAGGAAGGGAGGCCATGCAAGGGTCAGGGATACCACTGATGATGCGGTGGGGAAGATATAGTGGTGGGCATAGGCGCTGCTCCTTTAATTGGAATGGAAGAAGTCAGAGATACGGGAATGCTTGGACTTCTTCCCACCTACGTCTCATCCCGAGAGATGCTGGTTGTGGGGCTAGGAAAAATTACCTATCTCTGACACTGGTATTATTCATTGCCAGGTCTATCAAATAATAAGATCAATGTACTCCGTGATTATCTCATGAAGTCTCAGGTAGACCTGGCTTGTGTGACTGAGACCTGGGTGAGGGAGGGTGAAACTGTGACCATGAACCAAGTTCCCCACCTGGGTTCTTGGTCTTTCACCAGTCTCGAACGAATGGGCGGGGTGGTGGTGGCATTGCTTATCCATTAATCTTATTCCTTCAGGTTGCTCCCCACCCCAACAACCTCCGGCACTGAATGTGTTGGTCTACAGTGCAATGTTGAGGAGAGTTTGGCTATCTGGTTGGTGTACCGCCTAACACACTGACAGATACCCTGTCTGACCTGTTAGATGTAGTATCGTCTTGGGCATTGGAGCACCCCAGGCTTTTGGTCCTGGGGGATTTCAATGTCCATGCAGATGATACAGCATCTCAGGCCAGGGACCTAGTGTCATCCATGGAGGCACTGGGACTCTCCCAGTTTATATAGACTCCCACACACTAAGCAGGCCACACGCTGGATCTGATTCTGGGATGGTGATAAATGTGGAGCAGATGGCGGCTACAGATGTAGTCCCATGGCCTGACCACTTTGACCTGAAGGTCCGGCTGAGCATACTATGACCTCCTTGTTTAGGCGGCAAGCGCATTTATGCTTGCCCACAGAGCCAAATGGACCCTGGTCGGCTTCAGGAAGCTCTGCAGGATCTGATCCCCCTGGTAGCTTGTTAGGTGAGCTGGTGGAGAACTAGGAACACCGGCTCTCTGAAGCCATTGATGAGATTGCCCCCCAGCACCCTCTATACCCTCGTACCAAAGCAGCACCTTGGTATACCTCGGAACTGCGAGGATGAAGTGGGAACTAAGACAGCTAGAGTGAAGGTGGCTGTGTGCTCATGACAAAGTGTCATGAACATCTTATAGGATGCTTATGAAAGCCTATGAGATGGCAGTGAAGGCCACGAAGAAAGATTTCTATGTAGCCACCATGGCGTCTCTGAGCTCACGCCCAGCCCAATTATTTAGAATTATTCAGTCTATTACACCTCTGCCCCAGGGCAGACCTACAGTAGGGAATTAACAATTGGCTGTGAGGCATTTGTGAGCTATTTCGTAAACAAAATCATGACACTCCACCATGACTTCCTGACCACACTTGAGACTGTAAGGGAACTGGAAGTCCATTGTTTGTCTTCAGGTCCAGTATTGGACCACTTCAGCTGACTCTCCCAGGAGGAAATTGACAGGACCTTGGCAACTGTGAGACCCACTACCTGCCTCCTTGACCCATGCCCTTCCTGGCTAGTGAAGGCTTGTGGGGAGCATTCGAGTCCCTCTGGGAGAAATCATCAACTTGTCCCTGTCTACTGGGACTTTCCCAGGGGCTTTAAAGGAGGTGGTAGTCCATCTGCTCTTTAAAAAAACAACACTGGACCTATGTTCTTTATGAATGTAGACATCTGGATCAGGGCGGGTCAGCACTGCTGTTATCACTTGATCTGACAGCAGTGTTTGACACAGTCGATTATGATCTATTAACCCACCGCCTCACTGATGTAAGAGTCCAGGGGACTGCCCTGCAATGGTTTACCTCCTTTCTCCATGGTTGGGGACAGAGGGTGGCGCTGGGCGAGAGGACCTCCCCGTGATACCCACTGGAATGTGGAGTGCTGCAGGGGGTGTTCCTCTTGTCAATGCTATTTAACATCTATATGCACCCCCTCACCCAGTTGGTCTGAAGGTATGGGCTGGGTTGCCATCAATATGCAGATGACACCCAGCTCTGTTATTGGAAGGTTATCCATTCTCTGCCCCTGATAATCTGGCTGAGGCTTTGGAGGCTGTGGCTGGATGATTGCGGCAGAGTTGGCTGATGCTCAATCCATCAAAGACAGAGATCCTGTCCCTAAGTCAGAAGGGAGGGGATATGGGAATAAGGCTCCCCACACTGGAAGGGGCAACTTTGAATGTGAGGTGCCTGCGAATGACACTGGATGCCTCTCTCTCTATGGAGGCCCAGGTTACTGCAGCCACCCGATCTGCCCTTTTCCGTCTTCAGTAGATTAGGTTGCTGAAACCCTATCTCTCCCTCCAAGACTTGGCTACAGTGACCCATGCAATGGTCACTTCCAGGCTTGACTACTGTAATTCGCTCTACACATTACACATTAGTTTCCTATTTTGACATATTTATTTGCTTTACTGTGTTCCTCCCTGTAATGAAATCCAAACAAACGGTGACCGTATACACTTAGCTTGTTATTCCTGTTTGGTCTTTGCATCTCTTAAAACATCTTCATTATGTTGTATGCTAATTTGCTTTTCACCCTCTGCCTATATGTATGGACTGTTAACTTCCATTTCAATGTATCTGACAGTGTATATGCACACGAAAGTTCATACCTTGAATAAAACTCTGTTGTCCTTGAAGATGCCACTGGGCTCAAACTTTGTTCTATAAAATTTCAAGTTATGGATAGATTAGTGGAGTTTTATGTTCAACTTTGTATGCATGCACCAGTAACTTCAATTAGGGCCCTGTGGGGGGATCTTGAATTCTGCAGGGCCTGCAAGACGGACCGGTTCTGCCAGGCTTTTGGCTGAGACAGCGGATGTCCGTATATGGCCTCCCTGAGGTGTCTATCACCTTGTTCATTTATGTAACAACTACTGGCTATGGCTAGGAACCTCCCACAACCAGAAAATTTCTATGTTATTAGCTGTGACCACCATTTTAATATTTATGATGATGTTTTAAATTTTAACAATATATTTTGTATAAGTGAAATGCTGTTACCCACCCTGAGCTCACTTCCAGGAAGGGCAGGCTATAAATGTGAAGAAATAAATAAAATAAATAAAAATCCCTATGAGAGATTTGCTTTTTAATATTTTCATCTTAGAAACCAGCTCTAACATTCTCATATTAAAGTTATACCTTTATCTTTTGTGTTTCTTTGCAGAGTGGGTGGAATTCACACCCTATGAGGTGGGATTCCCAAAATATGGAGCTTTTGTCCGTGCTGAAGATTTTGGAAGCCAGTTTTACATGGGACATCTGATGAAGAAGCTCCCAGAATCAAGGATCTGTTTCATGCAAGGTGATATATGGGGATAAGAATGTAGATCAAATAGGAAACATGTAGCTGATAGAAAAGTAATAGCCTAAATTACTTGAAAACAACAGTATCCATCATGTTATAAATACAATGTTTTCAAGTCTTCTTTCATGATTAAACTAGCTGTACCTTCTAGATTCACTGTACTGGGATTCCCAGGGTGGAAGAAAGTACTAAATTCTATACATTATGATCCCTTGATTTGTTGTTTGTGTCTTTTGTATATCACAAGACTTTGAAGTACATCTAACCCTGGTCCTTGTTCATCAACATAGCACAGAAACTGTAGAATCTTAAATATCAGTCAGGAAGACTGAATAGGGCTTTTGACGTTCACAGAGCTGCAGTGTCGTGGAATGTCACCGAAATTTTTTTTTAGGACAGCAGTCATGGTGTCCCATTTTTAGAAGCTGGATGTATTCAGTTGTTTGCTGTTCTATCTGCTATGTCATTTGATTTGTTTTGCATTTTCTCATGTAGTTTTATTATTGTAATTTTTATTGGCAGTCGTTTTATTTGTGAGCTGCCTTGAAGACTCTGATCTGGATCCTTGCAAAACTGGAAATATACTGTGCTGGTAGCTTGTGCTGAGTCAAACTTCCTATACTCAAGTTTGCATTTCTGCTTGTGTAAGACATTGTGCAAATAATTGCAGTTGTTGTAGCATATCTAAGGCTATTGTTTGTGCAAATGGAACTCTGCTGAGCAAGTTTGCATTTCCATTCATGCTTCTCTAGATCCAGTCCTCAGACTGGAAAAATGGCATTCACATATTTTAAATAAATTAATAAATAAATAGCTTACTGAAACGGCCTGTCTTGCAATGTACAAGCAGTTATTTTGTTGTTGTTGTTCAGTTGCACAGTCGAGTCCGACTCTTCATGACCCCATGGACCAGATCACGCCAGGCCTTCCGGTCTTCCGCCGTCCTCTGAAGTTTGCTCAACTTCATGTTCGTTGCATCTATGACACTGTCTAACCATCTCATCCTTTGCTGTCCCCGTCTTCTTTGACCTTCAGTCTTTCCCAGCATCAGGGTCTTCTCCAGCGAGTGCTCCCTTCTCATTTGGTGGCCAAAGTATTTGAGCTTCAGTTTCATTATCTGGCCTTCCAGGGAACAGTCAGGGTTGATTTCTTTTAGGATTGACTGATTTGATCTTCTTGCAGTCCAAGGGACTCTCAAGAGTCTTCTCTAGCACCATAGTTCAAAAGAATCTATTCTTCGGCGCTCGGCCTTCCTTATAGTCCAACTCTCGCAGCCATACATGACTACTGGGAATACCATTGCTTTGACCATGCAGACTTTTGTTCGCAGGGTGATGTCTCTGGTTGCAGGGTGATGTCTCTTTATCATACTGTTTAGGTTTGCCATCGCTTTCCTCCCAAGGAGCAGGCGTCTTTTAATTTCATGGCTGCTGTCACAGTCTGCGGTGATCTGGGATCCCAGGAACGTGAAGTCTGTCACTACTTCCACGACTTCCCCTTCTATTTGCCAAGGAGTGATGGGGCCGGATGCCATGATCTTAGTTTTTTTGATGTTGAGCTTCAAGCCCACTTTTGCGCTCTCCTCTTTTACCCTGAGCAAGAGGCTCTTGAGGTCCTCTTCACTTTCTGCCATCAGAGTGGTATCGTCTGCATATCTGAGGTTGTTGATCTTTTCCCCAGCAATCTTAATTCCCGCTTGTGATTCATCCAGGCCAGCATTTCGCATGATGTACTCTGCATATATATTAAATAAGCAAGGCGACAATATACATCCTTGTCGTACTCCTTTTCCTATGCTAAACCAATCAGTTGTTCCATATCCGGTTCTAACTGTCGCTTCTTGACCCTTATACAGGTTTCTCAAGAGACATGTGAGGTGGTCTGGTACTCCCATCTCTTTAAGGACCCACCATAGTTTGTTGTGATCCACACAGTCAAAAGCTTTAGCATAGTCAATGAAACAGAAGTAGATGTTTTTCTGGTATTCTCTTGCTTTCTCCATAATCCAGCGAATGTTTGCAATTTGATCTCTAGTTCCTCTACCTCTTCGAAACCCAGCTTGTACTTCTGGCAGTTCTCTATCCACGTACTGTTGAAGTTATTACATGTACATGTACATAAATGTAAGTGGAGCACAGGACAGCAACTTCTCCAGGATGTAACTGCCAAATTTATAAAGGAATATCAAGTGAACCAGTTCCATTCAAAATCCCCTGTGGGGACAGGTGAAACAAGCCACTTTCTGCACCATCCTGAGGCCAGGAAAGTTTCCAGGTGTGAGAGGTGAAACAGAACTTCAAAACATCCTTTGAGGGCTCTATTTTTTATGATGCTGGAGCTGGGGTGGTGGTGGTCCTAATCCTTTCTCCCTCTGTTGTCTTCTTGATCTCAATCACAACCTAAAACTGCTGCTCACCCAAGTGGTGGGGGGGAGAGAAATAGACGCAAGTTCCTATGTTTCTCTACTGCAGGAACTTCTCGGCCTAAATTAATCAGGAAAATGGTGCAGAGAACCCTGCCTTCCATAGTGCCGCTATTCCAGTCAAATGAGAGCTTCTTAGTAGTTCTACTTTTTTAAAAAAGCCAGGAGAATCAGATCATGGATTCCCTGCATTCTGTCTATTTTTCTTTCCTGTGAGAGGTGGTGGCAGATTCCACTAGTTAGGCAAGCAATACTGCCTCTATGTGTGTGTGTGTGCGTGCACCAGTCACCTACTTCTGTATCAAAAACATTTTAGTAGCCTAAAAGACTGTATAGAATATTACAATAGTTGCTAAACTTTTTCAGCTCCTAGGACAAAATACAGTTCGGAAGCCAGAAAAAACCTCCCACATCATTAATCTCTTCTTTTCATAGGGATGTGGAGTAGCATATTTTCCAAGAATCTACTAGATGCCTGGCATGCCGCTGAGAATTCAGAGGACTTCTGGAACAGATGGACCCAAGACACTATCACTGAAATTGGTATTTTTTAATATTAGATGTTCATAGGGATTTCAGATGTAACCAGACACATTTTAGCATAGATCAGCAACATAAGACCCACTAAAATATCAATGCCTCAGTTTCTCTTATAGAATGACTTGTTCTTCAGTGCATGATTTGCTTTGCTGTAGTGGTGTGAATCAAAGGGGGGGGGAGCTTGGTCAGCTAGACAGAGCCCACAGTATGTGAAAGGGGTGTTACCCAAAACCACTTGTTATAACACTAAATTTATGAAATGCAAACATATTATTAACTGTACCACTGTGAAAGAAGTCAATGACTATTTTAATGCACAACTGGTATCCACAGGCATAGGAATTTTATACAGTTGCATAAATTAGTTAAATATTCTTATATTGATCATTACTGTCACCCTTGGGGGGAAAACCTATGAATACAATTATGTTGTATTTTAGCATTATTCCATAGCCAAATTCCAATGTTTATTTTGGGTTTCCAGTGAAGCTCACTGTTTGTGCTAACCTACAGACAGTTATTGCTACATGTCAACTATAATACTTCATTTCACTGCTTCTCTGGGTCAGTTTTCCTTCGCATAAACTAAAGGAACTTTTAAAAATAAGTTTTAAAATAAGTAACACTGGCTGGTTCAAAAAACCACCTCATTAATATACTACTGTAGGCTAATTTCTTTTATTTATTTTTTCAGAGGAAGTTCCTGATTTACCAGAGAGACCCCATGATATGCCAACTTCCATGTTCACTCCTGCAGGAGGCCTTTCTAGAGTCCTGCGGGACATTTTAACTGACCGCCCAGCAGTATCAAAGTATGACAATTTCTTAAAAGGGTTCCAAATGAACAATGAATACTCCCAGCATCGGCGATTTTCTAAATGGAAAGGTATAGTAGTAGCACTCATGTATCTTTGATTCCTTTTGGAAATCAGCAGTGTGTATAATTGCAGGCTAAAAAATTACATAGTTCTTATTAAAGAGAGGATTGTTAATTGCTTCACCAAGTAGATTGGTCTTATGTTCTGTTCCAGCTAGAATGTAGTTTAGGGGATGGAGGAGGCTGCAAGGGGATAGTAGAAGCCACACTCTCTCCAGCAGGCAAAAGTCCATTGCTTGGAGTTCCTCTACCATGTAGGGAATCTCCCCCACTGCTGGAACATCAAGAGGTGGGCCCAGTTCCCAGCATAGGGGCAAGGGAATCAGCATTGAGGGAAATAGGTGATTAATATTGTATTAAGCTGTGCAGAATGTATTGGTAGCTCCACATCCGAAGGGGTTCAGCTTCATGTGGAATCCTCAGTATGCCTTTCAGTTCTCCTCGGTCCAGCTGTGCATAACTGTAAATTTCAAATCTTTTGAAGCAGACACGGTCATTGTAATATACTGAACAACACACTAAGTTGTTTCTTTAAGGCTACACAGTTAGTGAGCGATCAAGCCAAATGCAGCCCACCTATTGTGGTTATCACCTACCTACCTACCACAGACTACAAAAATAACCAAAAAGAAAAATTGAAGTTTTGATACACCTGGAAGGCCACAGTTTGTGAACCCTGTGCCCTGGAGATAATCAATAATTTATCTGTATGTGTGGGGGTGTTGTGCTCACTGGCCTCACTCTTATTTATGCACAAATGAATGATTTCTGCTGCACACAGCCTGTGTACATGCAACTTGCACATGATGCATTGCATCTGTGCAGGGCCTGACTTTTCACTCCACACATCAGTTTTCCCCAAAATTCTTGTCTGCATGGAGATTTGGTTGGTAGGTCATGTTTAAACTGGTGGTTCACAAATTTTGCAGCTCTGATTTAGGGGTACCCAGTTCTGGCTAGAGAACACTTATTTATTTGTTTATTTATTTATTTTTATTGTTTATATTTATACCCTGCCCTCCCTGCAAGCGGGCTCAGGGCGGCTTACAAGGGAGCACTAGTGCTCACACATAAAAACACAGTAAAACAGAATAAAACAGTAAAACCATTTAAATCAACAAAGAATAAAGTGCTCAATAAGAACAGGATGGTCTCTATAGTTTGCAGGGAAATATCAGGCTGCTATTAAAGGTGGTATTGCCTATAGTTTGTACATAGTCCAGCTCAGGGGTCATTTTGTAGAAAAAGAGGTGCAGGAGCTCATTAGCATAACTCATTAGCATAACTTATTTGCATATGCCACCCCCCCTGACATCACCGGAAGTGTGTCAGAAGGCAACACCCACCGCTCAGGCTCCACTGGACTGTTTTGGATTGCTAGCTATTGGGGGGGGGACGTGCAGATCTGTCCTCGCAGAGGAGGGAGAGCTTGTACCTGAATAAAGCTTGGTCTTAAAGGTGTCACTGGACTGTTTTGGACTGGGGGGAGCTCTGCAACTTACCTGGCTGCTTCTTGCTCTGACTGAGGGCTGCTGGGAGCAGGGGGTGGGGCTTGTTGCATGTGCCCACCCCCTGGGCTCTTTACTGTCGGCGCACCGCTCCTGTGCGCTCCTGCAGAAAATGACCCCTGGCAACTCTAGTTAGTACATAGTCCAGTGGTACCAGTGCTGTGTAGTATTTTGGCAGATCTTCCATGGCCGTCCTTCCATCCCGTTATTAACCACATGATGGTGGTAGTGGTGGCCCCGACGTAAAAGCCTGGCGGAAGAGCTCCATCTTGCAGGCCCTGCGGAACTGCATGAGGTCCCGCAGGGCCCTGATCTCCTCTGGGAGCTCATTTCACCAGGTAGGGGCCACCACTGAAAAAGATCTGGCCCTGGTCGCCGCAGGCCTTACCTCCTTGGGGCCTGGGATTGCCAGGCGATGTTGTGTCCCCAACCGAAGTGCTCTTGGGGGTATGTATGGGGAAAGGCGGTCCCTCAGGTAGGTTGGACCCTGGCCATCTAGGGCTTTAAAGGTAAGTACCAGCACTTTGAAATGGATCCGGTATGCTATTGGCAGCCAGTGCAGTTCTCTTAGCACAGGCTGGAGGTGCTCCCACTTGGGGGAACCCATCAACAGCCTGGCCGCTGCATTCTGCACTAGCTGCAGCTTCCGGATCTGCGACAAAGGCAGCCCCATGTAGAGAGCATTACAGTAGTCTAGCCTCGAGGTGACCGTTGCATGGATGACTGTAGCCAAGTCGCCACAGTTGACTGGAATCCTGCTAAAAGCTAATCAGTGTGGTCAGGCCACAGGAGGTCTCCTGGGACAGAATATAGTAGCCTTGTATTCCATGATGGAAGGAAGGTGGGGAAAGAAATACAATAAGTAATAAACAAGGTTAAATTCTTCTACTCAACAAGGAAAGCTATTCTTGTTGAAGAGCCATAGCTTCCTTGCTCTCATATTTATATTTTGATGGAAGTGTCTTATTTTGTAGACTCTGCTCTTGATTCTACCCCTAATCGACTACGAGACCCTGAAGAACACCTGGAACTGGTTGATACAGCCTTCTTCTTTGACACCAGTTGTCCACCTCTTCTGAGGCCAGAGAGGAAAGTGGATGTCATTCTGCATTTCAACTATACAGGGGGATCACAAACCAAGGTTAGAGTATTTCCTGAGTACATCATAATAATCACTTTTTTGTCATATGCCAATGTTAATATTTGAAGGAGAACATTATTATAATCCAGTTTATGGAAAGTGGACTACTCACGTTAATTATTATTGTTTCAAACATATATTCTATTTCTTCCACAAAAAGCAATTAAAATATAGTATACTTGTTGGTTTTAAACAAGCGGCAAAAAGCAAATGACAGACAAATCAAGTGCAGCTAATAGGGCAGAATCTCCCCTGCTCACCTGCGAACGTTGAGCATCCACTGGTTCTACAAAGGCTGTGTCTGTCCCAGAATCAGGCCCGAAGCTACAATAAAATAAGTCAACTGAAGAAATGGTTTTGTCAAACAAATAAAGCCAAATAGGTGTCCAGTGGACTCTTCCCCCAAAAGGGGGAGGCTTTATTCTTAATGAGGTGACCTTAAGATTAACTATTGGCTAATCAATACAACCTAGCAGTTCGAAAGCAAGAAATTGCAAGTAGATAAATAGGTACCACTTTGGTGAGAAGGTAACAGCGTTCTGTGCACCTTGGTGTTTAGTCATGCCACAGAAACGTCTATGGACAGCACTGCCTCTTTAGCTTTGAAATGGAGATGAGCACCGCAACCCTAGTGTCAGACTCGACTGGCTTTCGAGCAAGGGAACCTTTACCTTTAATCAATACATTGGAGATCGTTTGTGCTATTCTGCACATACACAAGTGGTGTAGCCTTTGGAGAGGAACATACATTTCTTTATTCTTGAGGTCACATACACTCTCGAATAGACAGTGAGAGGGAACAAAGACAGAGAACTAGAAAGATTAGTTAGGCTGTTGTTGTTTTTCTTTCCATGTAACCCTTTCCCTAATTTTGTAGTAAACTTTTTCTTATTATTTTCTTATTATTACTTGTCTTTGATGCATTATTCCACTGTGCTTAATTTACTCTGCTAAAAATCCAACAAGACTTCCCAGAAGACAGTGATGAAGTCCGGGGAGTCAGAGAGATTTTTTTTAAACAAAGTTAAGTTTTATGGTTTAGGAATATGGCAGAGTATCAAGATCTGATACAATTAATCTAAACCACTGAGTAGCTGAGGCAGAGATATGTTAGGTTTTGTATGTTAGGTTTTGAAGCAATCTATTTGCTCATGTTACTAAAACAAATTTAACAGAAATAAATTTGCTCCCTCCCTTACAAATTGTTCTTTGAAAAGAAACTGATGTATAGTATGTTGGTAACCTCTCACACTTATTGCCCATTTACCAGGAATAGGCCAGGAAGTTATTTAGTTGTAACCAGGTATTTTATTATAAGTTTTGGTAAAAGTGGTACTGCATAAGAACATAATAGACGCCAATGTTGGATCAGGCCTAAGACCCATCCAGTCCAACACTCTGTGTCACACAGTGGCCAGAAATACCAGGTGCCATCAGGAGGTCCACCAGTGGGGCCAGAACATTAGAAGCCCTCCCACTGTTGACCCCCCCCAAGCACCGAGAAGACAGAGCATCACTTGCCCCAGAGCCCCTATCTATACCTTGTGGCTAATAGCCACTGATGGACCTCTGCTCCATAAGCTTATCTAATTCCCTTTTGAAGCCGTCCATGCCTGTAGCTGCCACCACTTCCTGTGGCAGTGAATTCCGTGTGTTAATCACTCTTTGGGTAAAGAAGTACTTCCTTTTATCCGTTCTAACCCAACCGCTCTGCAGTTTCATGGAGTGCCCACGAGTTCTTGTATTGTGAGAAAGGGAGAAAAATACCTCTTTCTCTACCTGCTCTTTCCCATGCATAATCTTATAAACCTCAATCATGTCACCCCTCAGTCGTCGTTTCTCCAAGCTAAAGAGCCCTCAGCGCTTTAACCTTTCCTCATAGGGAAAGTGTTCCAACCCTTTTATCATTCGAGTTGCCCTTTTCTGCACTTTTTCCAAAGCTATAATATCCTTTTTAAGGTGTGGTGACCAGAACTGCACACAGTATTCCAAATGCGTAAGAGTTTCACAGTATAAGCTCTTGAGAGTCAAAGCTCCCTTTCTCATATAATGTCAGAAGATGAACAAGTGAACGAACCTGAAAGTACTACTGAATTCAAATGTAGCTGTTCTATTGCAGACCAACACAGCTACCCTCTGAAACTAACTTCTGAAGTGTTAATGAATTTCATAATCATGCCAATTTTTGTTTCTAACAATTAAGCATGCATATGATGAATTAAAGACATGGCAGACACATTTGGAGCAATTTAAATGTAATGGTTGCTTAACATGAAATCCTAATTTGGGCTCGTTTAAAAATATTTCCCCATTTTGCATCTCCTAGCCTCTGGAGCAGGCTTCCAGTTACTTCTCAGAGCAAGGAATTCCATTTCCTAAGACCATGCTAAATGATGAAGAAAAGAAAAACTTAAAGGAATGCTATGTGTTTGAAGATCCAGATAACCCGGATGCCCCCATAGTGGTTTATTTCCCGCTAGTGAATGACACCTTCCAGAGATATGTTGCACCTGGTGAGTTGACAGTACCATTACAAAACAGAGTGTGGTTTGTATTTAATCCTTAATATGTATATATCCTCCTACATACTTTATTTGGATGCAAACCAATTGATTTTGGTGGACTTTACTTTAAAGTGAGTACACTTTGATTTGTGACAATGCAGTTTAATTCTAAACATGTTTTCAGAAACATGTCTTACTGGGTTCGATAGAACTCATACACAATACACATATGAAGTGGCCTTATATCTTCAAATGCACATAAGGCCACCTCACTCTGTACTACCTGCTTTAACTGGCAGCAGCTGACCAGTGCATCAGATGGAGAATAGTCTTTCTCAGTACCTGTTATCTGAGATCCTTGAACTGGAATTGAACTGAGACAAAGTGCATACTTTGCCACTGAGCCATGGTCCTCATAGCTATTTCCTAGTAAATTTGGTTAAGAGACCACAGCTTTAGGGCTTGGCTAGATGTAATGTAGATGATCTATGATGAGGACCTTCAGTGGTTTGTTTGTTTGTTTCAAGTGTGGCTCCATGAGAGCCAGTTTGGTGTAGTGGAGTGGTTAAATGTGTGGACTCTAATCTAGGAGAACTGAGTTTGATTCCCCACTCCTCCACTTGCAGCTGCTGGATGACCTTGGGCAAGCCATAGTTCTGTCAGAGCTGTTCTCTCAAGGTCAGTTCTGGAAAGAGCCCCACCTACCTCACAGGGTGTCTGTTGCGGGGAGGGGAAGGGAAAGGAGTTTTTAAGCTGCTCTGAGACTCCGAGTGAAGGGTGGGGTATAAATCCAATCTCTTTCTTCTCTTCAGGTAAGCAGCCCTGGAGGAGGGGTGTGTGTACTCTTTTCCTGCATGCAGCATACTGGGAGGGATATAGTTTAGGCTGAGGAAACTGCATAGGAGAAAAAAAAGCTTAATGGGAAGGGGCTGTGCCTCAGTGGTAGAACATCTGCTGGGTTTGCAAAAGGTCCCAGGTTCAATCCCTGACATCTCCAGTTCAAGGGTTAGGTAGTAGGTGACCTGAAAGTCCTCCTCATGAGATCCTGGAGACTCACTGACAGTCTGAGTAGACAACAGTGACTTTGATGGACTGATGGTCTGATCCACTGTAAGGCAGCTTCATGTCCCTCAGTGCTGCAAGATGTAATTTCATTTATTACATTTCCGGTATATATAATTAGAAGAAATCATTAAATACTCAGGCTAATTGATGATGACCTCATACATCTGATGAAGTGGAATCTAGTCCACAGAAGTGTATGCTAAGATAAACTGTCCTTCCTCTGAGGAGCTAAGATTGGTGTTTTACAGTGCAATCCTATGCAGAGTTACTCCAGTCAGGTTCGTTGTTAAAAGATAGCCTTGATTCAGATATAATCTGAAACCATAGATATGGTCAGTCAGTTGACAGAACTTATATTAGTTTTTTTATGTGAAGGGAAACCTCTCTGTTCCAAAATTAACTTTTTTAGATATAGTCATAGATTTATCTTAGAATCATAGAATCATAAAGTTGGAAGGGACCTCCAGGATCATCTAGTCCAACCCCCTGCACAATGCAGGAAATTCACAAATACCTCCCCCTCCAACATGCCCAGTAACCCCTGTTCCATGCCCAGAAGATGACAAAAAACCTCCAGGATCTCCAGCCAAACTGGCCTGGAGAAAAATTGCTTCCTGACCCCAAAGTGGTGATGAGCATTTCCCTGAGCGTGTAAGAAAGGGCCACAAGAACTAAGCACTGATTCAACCCTTCCTGCCCTCCCTCTCATGATCTGCCTAAGTTCACAGAATCAGCATTGCAGTCAGATGGCCATCTAGCCTCTGTTTGAAAACCTCCAAAGAAGGAAAGCCCACTGCCTCCCTAGAAGCCTATTCCACTGAGGAACCACTCTGTCAGGAAGTTCTTCCTACTGTTTAGCCGAAAACTCTTCTGATTTAATTTCAACCCGTTGATTCTGGTCTGACTTTCTAGGGCTATAGAAAACAACTCTGTACCATCCTCTATATTACAGCTCTTCAAGCACTTGAAGATGGTTATCATATCATCTCTCAGTTGTCTCCTGTTCAGGCCAAACATACCCAGCTCCTTCAACCTCTCCTCATAGGACTTGGTGTCCAGGCTTCTCACCATCTTTGTTGCCCTCCACTGAACACATTCCAGCTTGTCTATATCCTTCTTAAATTGTGGTGCCCAAAACTGAATACAATACTCTAAGTGAGGTCTAACCAGAGCAAATCTGAACACTATACTTCTGCTGATACAGCCCAAAATCACATTTGCCTTTTTAGCTACTGCATCACACTGCTGACTCATGTTTAGTGTATGGTCTACTAAGAACCCAAGATCTTTTTCACACATACTACTGCCAAAACAAGTCTTCCCCATCCTATAACTATGCATTTGATTTTTCCTACCTAAATGCAGAACTTTACATTTATTCCCATTGAAATTCATTTTATTTGTTTTAGTCCACTTTTCCAGTCTGTCAAGATCATCCTGTATCCTAACTCTGTCTTCTACTGTATTTGTTACCTCTCCCAATTTAGTATCATCTGCAAATTTACTAAGAATTCCCTCTATTCCTTCATCAAAATCATTTATAAAGATGTTGAACAAAACAGGTCCCGGGACAGATCCTTAAGGCACTCCACTTGTCACTCCTCTCCAAGAGATGAGGAACCATTCACAAACACTCTTTGGGTGCGATTTATCAACCAGTTACAGATCCACCTAACAGTAATAGGATCCAAACCACATGTTACTAATTTGCCAAAAGAATATTATGTGAAACCTTATCAAAAGCCTTACTGAAATCAAGATAAACTATATCTACAACATTCCCCTGATATAGCAAGGTAGTAACTTTCTCAAAAAAAGAGAAAGGTTAGTCTGTTATTCTCTCTCTTTTAAAAGAGGGATTTCTATTTCATTTCTCTTTGAAATCAATGACCTTTTAGTAACTTTATGTTATACACCACAAGGTGGTGCTCTATCAGGAGGACAGGAAGGTTTGGGAAGACATTGCCTGCCTTTGAGCATCTACAGAGTGAAATTCTGAAATGTCACAGAACTTCTCATTCCCGGTCTTGCTCTTTTCAAATTTCCCTTTGATCAGACCAGAATTGATTTGAAACCAACTTCAAATTCCTAAAAAGGGGGTTGGACTAGATGACCCTGGAGGTGTCTTCCAACTCTATGATTGTTGGATTTCAAGGAGATATTGGATAAGAAGGAATTGAGAGAATTTCTCTGAATACTACACCAGAATGCTTTAGGGGCTTGTAAAAATTCTTGGAGTTGACATATCACAACAGCATTATAATGATCTGTCTAGTAGGTCTTCTAAATTCCCAGCTTTTGTTTAAAAGTAAGTCTTGATCGAACCCCTTTCATTGTGGAGATATAAGGGGAAATGGTATTATAACAAAAAGGGCCAGAGACTTTTAAAAAAATGAAAGTTGGGAATTTGGAGGATCTAAGAAAAAGACAGTTATGTCAACTGCCAGTTTTGTAAAAACAGAGGAAATGGCAAACCTGGGCAAATTGAGTCATAAAAAAATGTTACCCAGGACCTATCAAAGCACACACCTTCCAATCCACATGGGGTGGGAATATTTATTTATTTTATTAGATTTATATACCGCCCTCCTGAGTGGGCTCAGGGTGTTGTACAACAGTTAAATATACAGTGAAAACAGTATTAAAAACAGTTTACACATAAAATTGTAAAATACCGTGTAACTAAAAGAGTGGTCAGATGACCAGAATCAGGCCACTGGTGGACAATTGGCCAGGAAAAGCTGGACAGAAAATGTTAGGGCTAAAGAAGCTGGATTGGGGGGGGGACACATCCGCTGCCTCAACCAAATGCCCGTGGAAGAGCTCCGTCTTGCAGGCCCTGCGGAACTGCAGTAAGTCCCGCAGGGCCCTGATCTCACACAAGAGCTCATTCCACCAGGCAGGGGCCAGGGATGAAAAAGCCCTGGCCCTGGTTGAGGCTAGCCAGATGTCCCTGGGGCCAGGAATCACTAATAGATGTTGATTTGTGGACCTCAGGACCCTCCAGGGCTCATAAGGGGAGAGGCGGCCTCGTAGGTACACTTTGACTGTGGTCATTCTAAAAAGATTACACCAAAGCAGGTGTGGGAAAAATTGCAGTAAACAAGAGCAAAACCTGGAAACTGGACCAATTTGTTGTTCAGTTGCACAGTCGAGTCTGACTCTTCACGACCCCATGGACCACATCACACCAGGCCCTCCTGTCTTCCATTGTGCTCCAGAGTTTGCTTAATTTCATGTTCGTTGCATCTATGACATTGTCTAACCATCTCATCCTTTGCCATCCCCTTCTTCTTCTACCTTCAATCTTTCCCAGCATCAGGGTCTTCTCCAGTGAGTGCTCCCTTCTCATTTGGTGGCCAAAGTATTAGAGCTTCAGCTTCAGTATCTGGCCTTCCAGAGAACAGTCAGGGTTGATTTCTTTTAGGATTGACTGATTTGATCTCCTTGCAGTCCAAGGGACTCTGGACTGACAACTGGACTAATAGGGAACAACAAAACAAATAATGAAGAAGCTACAATCAGGATTTGTCAAAATAAACCAGACACAAATTATTATTTGATCTGTTAGGCACCAGGCTAAGATATTCCTTTTTTTACCCAGGCTTTTATCCCTGGCTTTCTTTTCCAACCATTTATGACCTACTTTTTGCCATTTTATCTACATCATTTTAGGCTGCTCATTGTATATTTTATGCTGCTGCTATGTCCTGGCTTGTTTTAATGGAATGGACTTGTTTTTAATAGCTATATTTTAATAGCTATATTTTAATAGCAATGTTTTATTCTATGCTACTTCAAGCAGGTGTTTGGAAAGCAGCATAGATATATTTTCTAAATAAATAAATAGTATAATCTGTGACCAGAGTCCTGGCTTCAAAAAATGCATACAGTTAAAATAAGCCATAGCTTTGCATTTTATCTGTACTGAGCAATAGTGACTCTTCTAAGGCTTTGTAGCTTAGTTGGGGATCTCAATCTCATGTTCCCAATGAAAGCACCGCCCTGCATTGTACCACACCAAAATGCAGTGAATTTAACCATTTTCCTCTCAGGAATGATCTTCAGGAGCTAGTGCTTCTACTCTTCCCAGTGGGCCATCCCATGTCATAGGCTAGGACTTGGAGATGAACTGGGTGTGATTGTGACATTCCTTTCTTTTCTTCTGCAGGAATGGAACGAAGTGCAGCTGAAATGTCACTGGGCAATATCGATATCTCTAGTGCCTTTTCACCATACTCCACAAGACAGGTCTCACTTCAAGAGGAGGATTTCAACAAGCTCCTGAATCTAACGAATTATAATGTGCAGAATAATGCAAACACAATCTTTCATGTCTTCCAAAAGGCAGTAGAAAGGAAAAAACAGAGTCAGTCTTCTCAGACATAATCATCACGGATATTTCTTCTTTGTTCTTGAAGATGAAAGAACTGGATAGGGGAAAAGGGACATGAAGAATTCTAATAACGGGCCCAAATAATGGAATTTTGGCTGTCCAAAGTTACTACTGATTCTGTATGCATTTGACTGAGGGAAGTTCCATGTGTGCTTAAAAGCTCCATGAAACTTTGAAATATATTCTATATTTGTTACCTTTCAAACAAGCAAGCAGACACCACAAATACATAAATCACTAATAAAACTGGAAGTAACTCCTCAATAAAACTAAAAGATTTAGAAACAAAAGCAATCAGTTTACGCACAGTAACACAGCCTACTAATCACAATGAAACAGACATATCCAAAGCTCCAAACAGCACCAGTGGAGGAAGGGGATTCCAGAAGGCCTAGTTTCCAAGGCAAATTGGGTGTCTGCAGTAGGAGGGGGGAATCAGCACGAACTGCCCTTTCCTCCTCCACAGATGAAAAAGCCAAACTATTGGAGGAGCTACTGCTGTGCTGACAGAACGTAGCAATCTGATTGAAGCCCGTGTCTCCTATATATATATTTGACCAGTTTGGTGTAGTGGTTAAGTGCGTGGACACTAATCCAGGAGAACTGGGTTTGATTCCCCACTCCTCCACTTGCAGCTGCTGGATGACCTTGGACAAGCCATAGTTCTGTCAGAGCTGTGTTTGAAAGAGCTCTGTCAGCCTCACCTATCTCACAGGGTGTCTGTTGTGGGGAGGGGAAGGGAAAGGAGTTTGTAAGCCGCTCTGAGACTCCGAGTGAAGGGCGGGGTATAAATCCAATCTTCTCTTCTTTGTATGTGTGCGTGTGTGTATACACACACTCTTGGCTAATATATATGTATTAGCCAAATGTTTGTCTGTTTCCAGGTTGTGTATACAGTCATATTGCACCTGATTTTCTGTTCCAGATTATGCCATTGAAATAGATCTGTTGCTCAAAGAAATCAGCTATACTGTGGCCAAGGTATGGTTCTGAAATAATTATCAGGCTTTCATTTTGGTAATTTTAAGATTAAAGAAACTGGAAAAAGAAAGAAAAGAAAAACCTATGAAGCAGAGCATGCAGCACAGTGCAGTTCAGGATTTAAAATCAGTTGAGCAATGATGTGATTATGCTTTAGCATGTCAGTGGTTCACATCGTTCTGCTTTGCAGTTTGTAGTTTTTGTGTGCATCTCATATATTAGATTATACTATTTTATTGTTTGTAGGCAAAAGGCAATGTTTCATATTGTTATTCAAAGCTGCCCATTAGTTGGCTTTCCTGGAAGAAATGCTGTAGGCAAGCTCATGAATAAACAAGCAAACTCATAACTCCAAAAATCCATTTTTATGAGTGTTATTTGTCATGTTGCATGAGTTCCCATGCTTGGGATATTTAATTATGAATATACTCTGTAGCTCAAAAAGCCTGACTGCTTGTGTGTGAGAGAACATTTTGTACAGTCTCCTTTTTTGCTTCATAGAGCTCCCAAAGTGATTTACAAATGTTAAATACCAACAAAACAATATCATTCTGGGTTGAGCTTGAGGTCTGTGATTGGCTCTACTCTAAAGGCATGGCCTAAAATGACCTGGCTGGACACATGCATGTACGCATGCACAGAAACACACAGAAGACATGGCTTTGTTCTGAGTTGGCTGGCAGGTTGTAGGGTCTCTCTATCTCTTCAGGGATCTTATGTGGGGTAGTGGATCTTGGAGAAGTGACTCAGTGGTAGAGATCTGCTTGGCATACAGGAGGGTCCAGGTTCAATCCCTGGCAAACCCAGCTAAAAGGACCAGACAGCTGGTGATGGGAAAGACCTCAGCCTGAAACCTTGTAGAGCTGCTGCCAATCTGAATAGACAGTACTGACATTGATGGACCAATGATCTGACTCAGTAGGAAGCAGATTCATGTGAGATGGAGGCAGAAAATGGGAGACACTAAGGGGACTGGAAAGGAAAAATAGCAGGGGAAATAGTGATGGAGTGGGGAAATGAGATATCCTTGTAGGTTCCTGTTTGTAGCTATATATTTAAGTTAATCTTACCCTGCTGAAATCATAGGGAGCCAAATAATTTCACAGGAATGGGAACTCTGATTATTTCACAGTAGACAGAGAATAACAAGGCAACTGATCATACATCTGAGTGGGTGATATGCCAGATCACAGTAGAAGCAAAAATCAGTTCCACTCTGACACTGTTTTCTACAAACCAGTCTATGGTATTCTATCAAGAGCGGCACATGAAGTAATAATGGAGGATTCACAAGTTTGTGAATATTGTGCTGAAATTATTCACCTTCTTCATTTGCCCATCTAAGTAGGGGGTAATTTGTTCTGATTATGATTCTGCAGTCTCTAAGTCTTAACCAGTGACAACAGGGGTGTGCCTCTGCAAACACTTTTTAAAATATGAACCAATTACTTTATGGTACTATATCACCATTCCACTCTCCCCACACTGTTCTTCAGCAGAAATTTGAAGAAACTTGAAGAAACTCTGTGCTCTTTGTCTTGAAGTCACATTTCCCCTTGGAACTCACACGCTAAAATGGTCCCAGTTTTGAATGGTACTTTATTGTTATTTTTTTTTAAATAGCTGACTGTGACAGCTGTTCCTCCAGTTTGAAGGTCGCATTGAATGGGAAGGAACAACTATAATAGTAGTACAAAGACCATCTACACCACAGAAACTGTGCTTCTAATCCATGATGGAAAAATATCACAACAAATAAACTAGAAAAATGAACTGTAGATTGTAATCAATATTGTCTAGACCAACTGTTTTAACTTCATGTACAACTGAGGGCAATTGAACTCCAATTGACTGGTGTACACCCACCCTAAATTAATTCCTTCCAAACCACCAGTGAAAACCTTTATTTTCATCTGGTATTCAGTTTTCTCTCCTCCTCTACCCTCGCCATCTCTATCAGGGGGAAATTATGGCCCAATTGCATGGTGCCTGGCACCAGGCTAGGCCCAGTTCCATTGTGGGGAAACTGCAAGGACTTGAAAGCACGCCTTCTCATTTCCCCCTGTACCACCTTCCCTAATCTACACGACTTCCTCTTTCCCTTCTCCCGCCAACCCCAAATCCTCACATTTCTCTCCTTTCTTCTCTCCTTCCCACCCAGCAATCAACCTTTTATCTACCCCCCCAACTTAAGCTCCATTTATTATTTAATTCATTTACCCAGATTTGCCCTCAATCTCAAATTACTACTCTTCCAAAAGTCACTGGGGTTTTAGTGAGTCTGCAGTGAGAACTCATTAATTTTGAGCTGTGTTAAATACTGGGTTCCAAGCTTAGTGATCAGCTCAGCTTTATTAGTGATTCAGCAGATACATGGCAAAACTCCAGGGCAAGAGCCCTGTTTAAATAGCATGCAAACACCAGACCCAACCACTCCCAATGATAGGCTATTTACATAACATTAATTCCTTATTGGTCACATCCAGAGTCCTGATGGGCTACTGTTCTAGAGCGCCAAGCTCAGCCCATCTCCGGTAGACAGTCCTGGGATGTTCCACCCCCAATACATAACAAGCTGCCACTTAGAAATGAACTGGTGACTCTAACATAGTCTTCATAATGTTTTTAAGTGCACTTAAACATTAAACTTAAAATTCACTTGGAGGCTTTGAGCCACAATCAGTCCTGTCCTATTATTTTAGAGATAAAAAACAATAACTTCTGACATTACCCTACAAATTTAATCACTGGAGCATGTATCTGATTTGGCAATATATGTTCAAAGTCAGGACAATCAGTAGAATGGCAGACACCTTGTCTGTTGCCCTAGATTTATGATGACAGAGAATTCCTAAGGTACATTGTGGTTGTAATCTTGTGAATCTCCAGCCATAGCAAATTAATATAGATTAAATGATAATCTGGCTCTTCATTAAACATGTTCTAATGAATAAAGTGCCCTGACCTGGATTACCCAGGACCAGTGTTCCCTCTAAACTGAGTTAGTGTGAGCTAGCTCACAGTTTTATCTGTGCCCAGTTTGATCCGTGCCCCTCCTGGCTCATTAAAGCGGGTTGCGAGGGGTTGTGAGGTGCGCTTAGGGAAATTATCAACACGTCCCTCTCTGAGGGGCAGTTCCCGGAGGCACTTAAGGAAGCGATGGTCCGCCCTCTCTTGAAAAAACCTTCTTTGGACCCGGCCGAATTGGCCAACTATCGGCCGGTGTCCAATTTGCCCTTTTTGGGCAAACTTATTGAGAGGGCGGTGGCGATACAGCTGCAGG